CTTTATCCGAGTGCATTATTAACTCTGTTGTTGTTTATGCCATCTATTCAATGTACATATTCATACACACATAAATATACAATGGAATAGACGAACCAGAATGCACAGCATGCATAATATAATATTCTTTACGTAATATTCAAATGCTGATGATATTTATGAATTCATGTTTATTTGAAATTGCTGATTTTCCCCTTGGATAATATGTGCGTGCGCTTTGTGCATTTATCTAGCATAAAATTGTTTTCTGTTTGATAATTCAAAATAGTATTTTGAGGAATTTTGCGAATTTAGTTTTTTGGAATTTTTGCCAGGAAACAATTCTAACATAAACACCTGCTGAGAACCGAATATTGATATTAAGAAATGAGAGGCTGGCGGATACTTAATATTTTTTCAATTAAAAACAGAAGAAATCTGTTTGAATATAGAGAACAATACGTGCAATGTAAAATAAATTTGTTTTTATAATAAATGTAAAGAGTTCGAGATATTTTCACTGAAAGTTGTAAATTTACTATTTCTTTCAAAAAATGCCCAATAAATGTTGAAGCTCAATCAATCTGAAGTACATAATATAAGCTAAATGTGCATAATCAGAAAAATCGTTTAAGTCTTAAAGAAGTGATAAGAATACGAAAATCGAGAGAATAGAACTGATTTTCCAGAATTAAAGCTTTAAGTGCGTTCATACGTAGTCGGTCCACATACGATATCCAATTGCAATTACTCAGAGACGAATGCGTAATTCCAGTTACAGACAAATTAAATTTTCGTTTTGCCTTCATGTTAAGTTTAAAAGCCGCTTTGCTCATTACGCACAGCAGCACGTTTAAGCGTCTCGACGACAGATGGCGCCACATTAATGCATCTGCCGGGTAGCCGGGATACTGACTGCCCGACTGCCCGCGGGGACGACGCATTATCAGCCTGGACATGCGTTGACATACGCTGGAAGCGCACGGATAAGGGGGCAAGGGGGAAGCGGGGAAGCGTAGGGACCGAAACTGACTTCTTGTGGCGATGTTGTCGCTCCTTTGCGTTGTCTTCCTTATAATATCGCAGCAATAATTTGATCGTTAAAATGGACACTGCTTTTTAATGGTTTGTGTGTGAGCACCGCCGCGCCCCGCCCCGTCCCTTTGCCACTCATCCCTCGCCCCATGCTCTTATGCTGTTGCTGCCCCCCACCTATCTTCCCGCTTGGTTTGGCTCGCTTTTCATTTGCTCCCAGCTGCAATTAAATGTATTTTTACGATTGTGCAGCATTTGCAGTGGACGCCTTCTGGTCCACCACCGCACTGCCCCGCCCAGCCCCTGCTGGTAATGAAATTAACAGCATTGCTGGGACGCAGGACTTGGCATTTGCCGCTGTTGTCCTCGTCGGCCATGTCCTGTGATAAACGATCGCCATTGCCAGCTTTAAAATGCCACTTACGAGTAACTGCTGTGAAATGCTTGTTAAGCGTTAAATGGCCAAGAAAAATTTATTTTTTTGTTTGCCGTTTTGTTGGTGCTGCTTACCAGCCTTCTTCATCTTCTCCAGAATGCGTGCTTTCAGTACCTGGGCGTGGCAGTGCTCGATGGCAGCCATAATTGCCGGCAGCGTCGGGCGCCATTTTGATATTATCACTGGGGCAAACACAAGAAAGAGCACACACTCGCACAATGACACACACACACACAATAACGGGACACACTAGCCCACTTACCTGCCCACAGGTGGCGCTTTAATTTGCGACTTTCACGCGCCTGGGAGCCCTGTCAACACGCCTCGCTCAAGAACCCCAACACCCAGCACTAAGTGAGCCACTATGTCAGACATGCCAGCCGCACGAATGGGACCCAGAAGCAGTAGCTGAATGGGAAGGAAGGAAGGTAGGGGATTGGGAGGGAGGGGGAGGGGGTCAGATCGGCACCTGGCAAGGAACAGGCCATGACGCTGGGGAGTAATTAACACTGCGTCGTTTCAGCCGCTGCGCAAACAATGAGAAACTGATGCACTTGTTAATTACACCGTCAACTGCCACAGCTATGGGCGTGGTCAAAGCGGCAAGCTTGAACTATACAGAAGAATAGTAAAGGGATAAAAATGTAGAAAAACTATTAAACTAAGCAGAACAAATTTTTTATCAAAGCGCAAATTTTAGAATTAGAAATTCACATATCCCATGGAATATTGATAGAAGATTGTGCTAGATTGAATATACTCAAAAGTCAAGAGGATCACTTTTTCCGCTCATGTTTGAAAAGATTTGAAAAGCATTTGTATTATTTAGACTACGTTTAGCAACGTTGCAGTTGCAAATGCTTCGTAATAATTGAACCCAATATTCGATCAACAAAATTCGATCTCCCCTTGCAACGTTCAACCTCATTTGACTACGTTACTCGACTGTGGTCGACCGTGCTGGACAATGTTAAGCCATGTTTAAATTGGCGAAACATTGTTCGACCCCGTCTAGTGGCATGTTTGACTAAGTTTGCGATTGTGTTTGACCATGTTTGAATATGTCTAACAACAGTTGAGCTTCATGTGAGGTATCACCGCATTCGGTCTCGTCAGACAATATTTAATCGAGCAACGTCTTACAACATCTGCAATCCTTAGAACATGCTTGACAACAATCTTAGGATCAATTGATACAAAGAGATGAATATGGCTATGTTCATTTATTTCATGCTCGACATGTGCAGGACTTTGATGCCAATTTTTCGCCTTACGTTTACAGAGCTTTTTCTCTATTATCCATAGAATCCTATTTTATGCACATGTCTCCCACCTATTACATGGAAAAAATAAATCATATGACCTATCAATTTTCCTAATTTCATAAAAGGAATTGGCCGTCTTGCTGACAGCCTGGCAGTATGTGCTTGGCCCAATTACTCTGCCTTTGCATATCACGCGCCTTAGGCAAACAATCAACTAAAGCAATACACACACCCGCAGCACACACACCCACACTCAACACCCGCCCGCAACACACAAACACCTGGTAAAGGCTTCTACATTTCATGGCATGTGCAAAACTTGGCGCCCAGCTGCAGCAGCCGCAGCACTGAGCTAGCCCTTGCTTCCAGTTGCCCCACATCAACTTGCCACCTGGCAGCTGCCACATGGCGACAGCGACATCGACCCCGACAAACATTTCGATACCCTGTATAAATACACAATCTGTGTAGAGAGTGGTATACACTTTTGTGAAGAGTATGTTACCAGCTGAATATTAAGTATACGGTAATATCTTCAAATATACTTAAGTCAATATGTTTGTTAATATTTTATACCGTATATCAGGATGTCTTTCATGCCATTTAAGGTATAAAAGTTTCACAAGATAATATGTTAAGGGTACTTAACGGTCGAGTACTCTTAAAATGAGAGATTTAACAATTAGCTCGAGCTATTATTTTCTACAGTTTAAGGCATATATATATTCATCTGAATATTTTCGGATAGCTTAGCCTACAATACAGGATATCCTCTAGTCGATCACTGTCAAAAATGGTATTGCAATAACAAATTTTTCCTCTATTCTGAAGTAGCTGCCAAGTATATGTGAGTTGGCTACGGTATAGGGTATCTCTCGCTCGACTACTTTTAAATATAAAGCTGATGCCAGCTACTCAAATACAAATTCTCTACAGTCTGAAGCCGACGGTATACACATTAGAGTATTTTTCTATACATCATCATATATTACGAGGTATCAAGTTACAGGGTATCTATAGATATATTACTCTAAAAAAAAATAAATTTTCATTTTCTTCAGTTTGTAAATTGTATACATAAATTATAGTTTTCTGGAACCTCACCCTGTACAGGGTATCTACTATTTGAGTATTCTTATGCATAAAAAGTCTCGCAAACTGCAAAAACAACAATTTTCTAAGGCGGAAAGCAAGGTGTGTAAGCAAATGTATAGTACCCGCTACTTTATCAGACATTACAGGGTATCTACCCGTTCAGCCTTCTCGCTTAGGCTCTGCATGTTTTTTATTGGTCGCGCTATTTGCAGCTTTCATGCATCGACTGCGTATTTTAGCCGACGGCAGCGACGCGGACGCAAGTTTGTGTGCCCTTTTCCAAAACGCAGGCGTTCGGGGGCGTGGCAGGGTTGTAGCGCGCTGCTTCTATTTTTTTAAAGTAAATATCCAAACTGAAGTGCAGCGCGGCTGCTGAAATTTTTATGCGCCACCAACACCACAGAGTGCAACAAAAACAAAAAAATGAAGAAAATTCAAAACTAAACTATAAAAAAAATGTTGTGAAAAACCGCTGCACACGTGTGCAAACAAAGGCGACTCTAAATGTGTGTGTGTGTGTGTAGGTGTGTGACAGAGTGTGTGTGCGAGTATGCGTGTCTATTTGCAAAGTTTCTTTTGGGCAAACGCGGCTTTTGCTGGCGTCGTCGTCGTCGCCAACAGTTTTGTACAAAAAAAAAAATATATATGTAAGCGTCCGCCCATTTGCCGGCTACCTGCCACGCCCACTCGCGAACAGCAACAGCAGCAGCCGCAGCAGCAGCAGCCCAGCATAAATTTCCATTACCGTTGACAAATATTTACACATCGACCTCAATTCATATTCCTTTTGATGCAGTTGCTTTTAGTTGCTGCTGCAGTTGCCCGCAATGAAGGGTTTTACGGGACAGGAACTTTATGCTAGTTATACCCTGTAACCATCGAAATTGCTATTTGAAAGGGGTATTTTGAAGTTGTGCAAATGAAGATGGATAGGTAAAGCAAGCAATTGGGGAATGCATCTCTCTTTTAGTTCGGGAGTAAGAAAAGATAGAGCATAGAGAGAGAATAATGCTAATTAATGAAAAAATATATTTAATTAAATAGTATCTCCTAGTCTAGCACTGCCAAACATTCTGCCTGGCTTATATTGGGCCAGTAACTGCCAACAGACACTGTGCGGCCAGCTATTACTTAAGAGCCCGAGTAGGCGCTGCTCGGAGTGTGGGGCGGGAGAGTTATTTTCCAGGGGCCTAGTACAGAATTGTGACAATAATTGAAACGATTTTCCATTTAAGCTTAGAAAAAAAAACAGAATAAACAACAAACAATGTTCCAAATCGCATGTTGCTCTGCGTGGCTGCTGTTGCTGTTGTTGCTTGCGTTGCCACCTGGTCGCAAGGCGGAAGTATTTCGTCATCGCTTGACCATCTTTGCGGAGGCGGGTCGCATGGAATGCTATCATCAGGCTGTGGCTGCCACAGAGATCATTATACTGGAGTATCAGGTGATACACGGCGGCCAGGGTGAGGCGCACATAAATTTCAATCTGATGGATCCGCATCGCAAGCTGCTCGCCGCGGATCACAAGCAGCAAAACAAGAAGCACCGCATGGAGGCGAATGAGACGGGCATCTATAAGTTTTGCTTTGATAATACGATAAGCTCGTTCAATCAGAAAATTGTTGCCTTTCATCTGGAGATTGCGGCGGGCAATCATGAGGAGCTGGAGCGCCAGCAGCTGATCAAGGAGATGACCACGGACTATCAATTCGATCGCACCTACACGCACATGCACGACTATGTGACCAAGATCGGCCTGAATATGATGCGTTCGCGCCAGACACAGGACTATATACGCACCCTCGAGGCCAGGGATCGCAAGCTGGCCGAGTCCAGCTTTACCATGGTCAACAATTGGTCATGTGCCCAGTTTATTGCCATGATTATTGTCGGCATGCTGCAGGTCTTTATGCTGCGCAGCATTTTCAACACCGATGGACGTTTCTACAAGTTGTGGAGGAAAATTTGATACCGAGTCACAGTTTACTTGAATATATGATTGTGCTCATAAGTGGAAGCTAGTTGAATAAATCAAAGGAGTCTCGAAAATACAGTTGAGATCTAAGCCCGCATTCGTTAAAAGTTCTGTGCAGACAAGCCAGTGTTGGTAAGGTATTTAAATGCATAAAGTTATATGCGTTATACGCATACACCTTTCCAGCACTGGCTTTTAATTGAATAATTTTAGAGTTTTTTATTCACAAATATCACGAGCTTTCAGTCCATTTCAAATCAGAAGCAAAAATAAACGCAGCATCAATTTTATGAGCAGCTGTTGCGTTCATCAATTTCCTCTGTATAATATACACTGATGAATAATCGAGCAAAGGGCATGTTATTTTTGCAATTTCCCATATTAAAATTGATTGCTTTTTTATTGCTAATGGTTTTCAGTTTATTTGCATTTAATTTAAGTTTGCTCAAGAAGATGGTTCTGGTTCTATTCTCAAACGACTCTGCTGTCGACTCCCTTTTATCGTAAGTTTAACCTGTTGAGAATTACAAGCATTAAACAATGTAAAAGGCAGTTAAAACTTGACACTCTTTGAGTCCATTATAATATCCAATAAATATTGAAAAACTTTGTTTAAAGTGCTTGTCGTCTGCTAAGGCACTTGCCAACCTCCTCTAGTCTCTCTCTCTTTACCCGACAGGCCAGTCTTGTGCCCTGCCCTCAATCAGTCAATGTTATTTTCGATAGCCCAGAAAATTTGTCAGGACATGAAATGAAATCAGTGCCCACGCCTCTAAGCCCTTGAACCACGCCCAGCGTTTGACATTTAGCTCGGAGCAGAAGAAGTGGCAGCTGCCACATAGCCACAATGAGAATTAAGCCCCTAAAATTGTGAAGGTCAGCCACAGAAATGGCTCATGAATTATTAAAAACGAGCCAAAAGTGTGGCCAAAGTTGCCACTACTTGACCCTAATCCAAGGCGAGCAACACGAAGAAGAAGACAATGATTGCCAAATGCTAAGCCAAATGCTAACTCCCGACCCCCTTCCGCGCCCGCCAATTCCTCAAACGAACCGCAGGACCCAAAATATATTTTGACATGCCAACAATGCAAGTCTGAAGGCAATTGTTTGCCCTGGTCCAGTCTGTTGACTGGCCTAGCCAGTGGGCGTGGCAACCGCCTATTGCTGCAAATTTTCCAGCATCTCTGTGCCGAGTGCTCGAAGTAGCACTTTAAATTAATGAACCGAGATTAAGCAAGACAAATTGTTGCCACACAAATTCTCCTATAGAGGCAAATTGTTTTTCGTTTCGCCCCGAAAAATCAATAAGAAAAAAATATATATATATATATATATATATATATAAAATTATTTGTTTGCTGGCTGGCCTGTAAAGAAAATTTGCAATTTATTGTTATTGATATTTGTGTAAATATTTTCCAGGCACTGAGGGCACAGACAAAGGGCGAGAGCGCAAGCCGAGGCGAGACACAAGGCTCGCAATTAAGAATTTAAGCGCAAAACGTGGCCACAAAATGTTGCATGCAACGTACATTTTCCGACCCGTTGTCAACGCCCCTGACATACAAATTTACAACGGTTTTGTGTAGAGTAAATAAATTTTGCATTGCATTTCCCAGCTCTTTCCTACTTTCACTTCGACCATCGAATCTCATGTGTGCAAAATGCAGCCAATTGTAAACTTTTCACTTGATTCTTTTTTTTTCCCCTGCATCTCGTTTTTTTTCTGGCTACTGCAGAAAATATTCATTGAATTTCGTAGTGACAAACGACAAGTTGTCACTCACTGCCGAAAAAAAAACAAACTATCTGGCAAGGGGCCGACGCCTAAATACCCTATATTTGCTGTCAATTCTACTAGGCATGCACTAGATGAGTCTTAGGCTAGCTTTGGCTTAGAAAGACCTTCTCTGAATGGAAAAAGAATGGCGTTGATCCGGTGGACGGTTCAAACCAATGTCTTGTTATTTCGGTTCAGTTTCCAACTCAGGGTTGCCGTCTCTATGTCCATTTATACGCCACATATAATATAGTAATTCAATTTGTTTAAAATATTGATAATCTTTGTTTAAATCAATAATAGTTCCGGATATTCTCGACTCAACAGTATATTTGATTCTCTTAAGACGAGTATACAGATTAGACTTCGTCTCGCTGGTAGCTGGAAGAAGACTAAAGTTGTTCTTAACAATACTAATTTTAAATTATTTTCAACATTTCTCTTTCCTAGTTATGCAACACTATTATTTTGGAATTGCTCAACACAGATTTCAATTGTCATTCAAAGAATCCTTCTTCCCTGTGTGCCATATGGAGCGCTTAAATTGTATTACCCGCTGCTAGTGTAAGAAGAAGAAAAAAGCAAATAGAATTTTCAAGTTGTTGAACAGCAACAAATTTATTACCGTATGCTGCATGCATGAGCTGCTCTTAATATAAATTCCAATCAAAGTCAGTGAAAACAGAGTTGGAACAAAAAAAAGAAAACAATGCACATTGTAGGGGCATTACGACAGCGCCATAAGAGATGGAACTCAAAGTTCAACATGCCACGATTCAAATAAATAAGCAATTTGCAACAGCAACAACAACAATAACTGGGGAAAAACAGTTGGCACAACTGACATAAAACGCAATGAAGCAACAATTTTTTGTATGTCAGCGAATTACCCAAGGAATGAAAGTGGAGACAGAAGCTGGACGGACGCTGGACGGGAATGGTAAGCGGAATCTGACACTGGTGGCAAGGACATTTTGCGCTGTTTTAGCCAAAGCGCTTCAAAGTGCTTCTTAACGAAGCTTAAAAGCAATGCCAACGGCGACAACAACAACAACAACTGTTGCAGCTTCGATTTGGTGTAGAAATTGCTATGAGTCCTGTACGTTTGCTGCCTAGGCGACTCAACAGCCACGCCCATTATACGACAAGTTTTCAGCTGTTGTTGCTGTTGCTGCCAGCGTTGCCAATTCAGCCATTTTCTAGCCAAATAGCTAGTATAATAAGCTCTCGCTAGCTGGAAACAGTTGAAGTATGCATGCTCCAATTTTAAGTGAAGTCAGTGTTGAAAAATATGCATCTTAGCTAACACTGTTTTTTTTTTTGATTATGGGCAACCTGTTCTGTTCATTGCCTATCGATACTTTTATGTTTGCTATATATGTGCTAAGTTTACCTGTGGCCCAGCTAGCTTAGCCTCAAGTTTCAGCTACTTTTAGCTTTTATTAAGAGCGGACTCAATTTTGAAGCGACAGCTGGCAACACTGACTACCGCTGCTGCTGTGCAGCGAAGTATGCCAAAGTCGTGGTCGTTGCGGCCATTAAATGGTTTGCTTAGGTTGCTCAAAGGTTGCGACACGAAATTCAACTGGATTTGGTTTATGCGTAACGGGTACTTGCGGTTAAGATGGGCATTATGGCACCCGCCATTTATGGTCGCCAGAGCCTGAATGCTTTGCAAACAAAGCGAAGCATACAAATTTATATTGTGAATAAGTATATACATGCCAGTTATTTATAAACATGCTAGCGGGCATTAATATTGTGTGCTACAAATTTTAGACATCATTTTCCACCCATTTTCCGCCCTTGGAATGCACGAATGTACTAAGATATATGACCTTCAGTCCGTATAGTGTATGAATATGAAGATAATTTAATAAGACAGTTCCACGTTCACATTCCAGCCTCAGATGCTAACCCTAAACCGCTACAGATTATAGACATCATTTTCCACCCATTTTTCGCCCGTAAAATGCACGAATGTATTAAGATATATGACTTTCAATCCGTCTAATTTATGAAAATGAACATAATTTGGTATACATTATTTTCTGAATCGTGTTCCACATCTGCAGCTAAGACATTTCTACTTTGGTATTCCAACCAAGCTGCTTTACTTACTTGATTAATTTACTGGGATCATTTAATTGTTTCTTTTGCAGCTTTTAACTCTCAAAAATTGATGAAAAAAAATTTAAATATTTCTATAAGCGAGCTTCATCTAAACGAAGCACATTTCATCGTCTTATTCTCTCTATTCTTGTGTAATCTGAACAAAGCGCCGCAAATCCAATCAAAACGGAAGGCGGACTAATTTAATAAGCCACCAAACGTTGCTTACAAATGAAGCTATAAAGACTTCCTGCGCTTAAACGCCATGCGCCAGCGGACGCGAACTAAGCGCCAGGATATTCACTATTTTAGCGGGAGGCCCGAGGACTGGCACCTAAGACAGTTCGCGGTGCCTGATCCTGTTTGCTCTGCCTGCCCTCCCCCCGACCCTGGCTCGTGTCCATTCGCGAGTCCATTTTGAGCGCTACCGAAAAACGTAAATGGAATCCTTTTCACCTGGCCAACTTCGATGAGTGGGTGGGGTTCGGTTGGGTTGTGCAAGCCACAAGCTATTCGACTCTAGACGACACGACTTTACCTTCATTTGCGGTTAATTTCGCCTTAGTGCGCTTGCCGTTATCCTTGCAATCCTTGGGCAAGTCCTTGCCAACTGTCACAAGTAAGTGGCAGCGGTGCGTGGCAATTGAAGTGCAGCCTCCTGCTCGGAGCAAAGTTGTTTGGCTTAGTGCAGCTTTGTCCTTGTTGTCCCTATAGTCCTTGCTGTTATCCTGTCCCATCTTGGTGTCCCCGTCTCGCGTATAGCTTTTATTCGCCTAATTTCCGTTGCGCCACCCGCATCCTGCCGCTAATTGACGCCGCTTAGCGCCAGCCCAAAATCTATAAACATGAAACACGCACAGCTACAGAAACGCGTCCTTGTGACACACCTCCCTCCACGCTCCTCCTATTCGCAGCTCGCTTGTTTTATGTGTGCGTCCTTAAGCATAATAAATCTGTTTATCTCTCTGTGCTTAATGGCTGCCAATGTCCTGGCATTGTCCTCGGCCCGCTTAAAACTTGCTGCCTTACCTGGCGAGGCGATAAAAAGTTTTCTTGCGCCTTTTGTGGCTTCTTTTTATACCCTCGCCCTGGCTTGGGTGGGGGCATCATAATGTTGTCATCAAATATGCAACGTTTTGTGGATTGTTCTTAATTAGTAATAATAGTCTGTCGCTATTAACATGCCCGTCCGTATGTCTCCTTATTCTTTTTTAAAGCTATCGGCATATGAGAGCTCGTCTTTGTAGGCTGTACATACATATATTATATTTTGTTTGGATTCGGATCGGATCACTATATCATATACCCACAGAAGGCATTCGGCTTGAATGCAAGCTGTTTTTGGTTTTTCAAGATAACTTAATCAAGAACTTTAAAAAAACTAATCTTTAGTGT